TAATGGCTGAAGACAAGGTTATAATCGAAAGGTTCAATGGTTCTGATTTTAGCTGGTGGAAAATGCAATTAGAAGCATTGCTATGTCAGAAAGACTTGGACGTGGTACTCGAAGACAAACCGGAGAAAAATGGAAAAAGCTGCTGAAGATGCGTGGAACTCAAAGGACAAGAAAGGCAAGGCGGTTATTACATTGTCGTTGACGAAGAGCGTTGCTTTCAACATCATGAATGAAACCACGGCGCGTGGTATGATGGAGGCTCTGTCAAATATGTATGAGAAACCATCGGCGGCTAACAAGGTGTTCTTGATGAAGGAGCTGTTCACTACAAGGATGAATGAGGAAGGCTCAGTTACGGTTCACATTAACAATCTAAATTCAATTCTGTCCAGATTATCATCTGTGGGAATTAAATTTGATAATGAGACTCAAGCTTCGTTGCTACTAGCTTCTCTACCTGATAGCTGGTCCGGAACAGTTACTGCTGTTACAAGTTCCGTGGGGACTAGTGGTATGACTTTTGAAGGGGTTAGAGATTTGGTTCTAGGCGAGGATATCAGACGCAAGAATCAAGGTGGATCTTCCTCTTCTGATTTATTAAATGTCGGAAGAGGTAGAGGGAATAGCAGGAATAGTGGGAGCAGTAGGAGTCGGGGAAAAAGTTCTTCTAGAACTTTGAAGAATGTGAAATGTTGGAACTGTCAAGAAGTAGGACATGTTAAGAGTCAATGTCCAAAGAAAGAATTGAACATTGCTGATGCTGAGAATTTTTCTGGGGATGATGCATTGTTACTCAGTATGGAAAGTTCTGTGGACTCTTGGGTCATGGATTCAGGGGCTTCGTTTCACGCCATGGACAACGGGGAAACGATGGTGAATCTAAAAGAAGGAGATTTTGGGAAGGTACGATTGGCAAATGACGAGATGCTTCAAGTAACGGGCATGGGAGATATTGATCTAGTTACTTCATTAGGAACTACATGGAGCCTGAAGAATGTCAGGGTTATTCCGGAGCTGAAGAAAAAATTGATTTCTGTTGGTCAGCTGGATAAACAAGGACTGGAAGTAAGGTTTGGTGGTGGTAAATGGATGGTGGTCAATGGTAATTCGGTGATTGCTCAAGGTTTGAAGCGTGGGTCATTGTATATGGTTGAGGTACCTGCTGAGGGAAGTATGACCATCCCGATTAAGCAAAACAAAATCTGGTTCGCTAAATCTACTGCTAAGAGAGTTCATTTTGCAAACATGAATTCTGGAGCCAAGGGGATGTTAGCTGAACGAGTCGGAAATTCTAAACCATTCAGGGGATTCTGTGACAGTGGGAGCACGGGGTGTGTCCCGGGTACAGTTACAAAGAGCCGTTGGGTTTTGAAGACTAAGACTGGAAAATTCTCTCTTGTTGGAAGTTTGCAAAGTTTGGAGAGTGTTAGTGGTCCTCGGTGTATCTCTGGATCTGGTGGAGTGTCCAAACTGGTTGAGACAGAGGATGAGTCGGTGGTGGGATTAGCCACGACTGAGTTGGAGCTAGTGGGAGCTTCAACTGGACCTTCTAGTACTTGAAGATGAGGGGCGGCTGCAATTAGAGAAATCAGACTAAGTTTTAGCTTGTTCTTTGAAACTGGAAGCTTGAAGGACTTGGTTGTTTTTTAAGATTACTGGAGTAATTGAGAGTTGAATGGCGGAGAAAGACTAATTTGTTCAAGTCTCCAAGTGGGAGATTGTTAAGATTTATGGAGTCTTGAACAAATTGACAAGTTCCTAAAAGTTCAAGGGCCATAAATGAAACTTGGAAATATTAAACAATTGAATATGAAATGGACGATGCAATTATGGAGCACACCTTTTTGAATTCATTTGTTGGACTGTCAAAGTTTTGGACGGCAAATAATTGGACGGTGGAAAAAATTGTCAAACACATGCATGAGAATTATTTTTTCAAACTATGCGGCAATCTTGTGCATATTGCGGCTCACAAATATACCTATATATATGCATGTATGTTTTGCATATTTTGTGTGCAAAAACTTGAGAGAACATCAAGTGCAGAGTGTCAAGCCAATTGTAATCTTGTGAGTTTTAATAAAATTCTCTAGTTGCAGGCCGTGGACGTAGGATTTACACCGAATCCGAACCACGTAAAATCCTTGTGTTCTTTATTGCTTTATTTTCTCGTTTCGTTTGTGAGTGTGTGATAGTGTTTCCGCTGCGTGTACCCTGTCTCAATTCCTAACAATTGGTATCAGAGCCTGGTTAGCGAGGTTTTGGAGGGTACGATCGTTTTTTTCTGTCACACACGAGTGTACCTAATTTTTTTTTGTTTGCCGTAATGGCTGAAGACAAGGTTATAATCGAAAGGTTCAATGGTTCTGATTTTAGCTGGTGGAAAATGCAATTAGAAGCATTGCTATGTCAGAAAGACTTGGACGTGGTACTCGAAGACAAACCGGAGAAAATGGAAAAAGCTGCTGAAGATGCGTGGAACTCAAAGGACAAGAAAGGCAAGGCGGTTATTACATTGTCGTTGACGAAGAGCGTTGCTTTCAACATCATGAATGAAACCACGGCGCGTGGTATGATGGAGGCTCTGTCAAATATGTATGAGAAACCATCGGCGGCTAACAAGGTGTTCTTGATGAAGGAGCTGTTCACTACAAGGATGAATGAGGAAGGCTCAGTTACGGTTCACATTAACAATCTAAATTCAATTCTGTCCAGATTATCATCTGTGGGAATTAAATTTGATAATGAGACTCAAGCTTCGCTGCTACTAGCTTCTCTACCTGATAGCTGGTCCGGAACAGTTACTGATGTTACAAGTTCCGTGGGGACCAGTGGTATGACTTTTGAAGGGGTTAGAGATTTGGTTCTAGGCGAGGATATCAGACGCAAGAATCAAGGTGGATCTTCCTCTTCTGATTTATTAATGTCGGAAGAGGTAGAGGGAATAGCAGGAATAGTGGAGCAGTAGCAGTAGGAGTCGGGGAAAAAGTTCTTCTAGAACTTTGAAGAATGTGAAATGTTGGAACTGTCAAGAAGTGGGACATGTTAAGAGTCAATGTCCAAAGAAAGAATTGAACATTGCTGATGCTGAGAATTTTCTGGGGATGATGCATTGTTACTCAGTATGGAAAGTTCTGTGGACTCTTGGGTCATGGATTCAGGGGCTTCGTTTCACGCCATGGACAACGGGGAAACGATGGTGAATCTAAAAGAAGGAGATTTTGGGAAGGTACGATTGGAAAATGACGAGATGCTTTAAGTAACGGGCATGGGAGATATTGATCTAGTTACTTCATTAGGAACTACATGGAGCCTGAAGAATGTCAGGGTTATTCCGGAGCTGAAGAAAAAATTGATTTCTGTTGGTCAGCTGGATAAACAAGGACTGGAAGTAAGGTTTGGTGGTGGTAAATGGATGGTGGTCAATGGTAATTCGGTGATTGCTCAAGGTTTGAAGCGTGGGTCATTGTATATGGTTGAGGTACCTGCTGAGGGAAGTATGACCATCCCGATTAAGCAAAACAAAATCTGGTTCGCTAAATCTACTGCTAAGAGAGTTCATTTTGCAAACATGAATTCTGGAGCCAAGGGGATGTTAGCTGAACGAGTCGGAAATTCTAAACCATTCAGGGGATTCTGTGACAGTGGGAGCACGGGGTGTGTCCCGGGTACAGTTACAAAGAGCCGTTGGGTTTTGAAGACTAAGACTGGAAAATTCTCTCTTGTTGGAAGTTTGCAAAGTTTGGAGAATGTTAGTGGTCCTCGGTGTATCTCTGGATCTGGTGGAGTGTCCAAACTGGTTGAGACAGAGGATGAGTCGGTGGTGGGATTAGCCACGACTGAGTTGGAGCTAGTGGGAGCTTCAACTGGCCCTTCTAGTACTTGAAGATGAGGGGCGGCTGCAATTAGAGAAATCAGACTAAGTTTTAGCTTGTTCTTTGAAACTGGAAGCTTGAAGGACTTGGTTGTTTTTTAAGATTACTGGAGTAATTGAGAGTTGAATGGCGGAGAAAGACTAATTTGTTCAAGTCTCCAAGTGGGAGATTGTTAAGATTTATGGAGTCTTGAACAAATTGACAAGTTCCTAAAAGTTCAAGGGCCATAAATGAAACTTGGAAATATTTAAACAATTGAATATGAAATGGACGATGCAATTATGGAGCACACCTTTTGAATTCATTTATTGGACTGTCAAAGTTTTGGACGGTGGAAAAAATTGTCAAACACATGCATGAGAATTATTTTTTCAAACTATGCGGCAATCTTGTGCATATTGCGGCTCACAAATATACCTATATATATGCATGTATGTTTTGCATATTTTTGTGTGCAAAAACTTGAGAGAACATCAAGTGTAGAGTGTCAAGCCAATTGTAATCTTGTGAGTTTTAATAAAATTCTCTAGTTGCAGGCCGTGGACGTAGGATTTACACCGAATCCGAACCACGTAAAATCCTTGTGTTCTTTATTGCTTTATTTTCTCGTTTCGTTTGTGAGTGTGTGATAGTGTTTCCGCTGCGTGTACCCTGTCTCAATTCCTAACATTCATAGCCAAGGTTCAGTGGTTGAAGCTAGGTTCAATTATTAAAGTTTCAAGGTAGAATTGGAGGCCAGGACTTGCACATGCAAGCTTTGGGATCTTTCTGGAATCCCTTGTGTTCATGCAAATGCTACCATTAACTATATCCATTAGACAGCTGATGGATATATTAATGAATGCTTCTCAAAAGACAGGTTTATTAAATGTTACCAAAGTAACATAATGTCTGTCAATGGGAGCAATTTATGGGAACAAACTCCCTTCCAAAAGTCTTTGCCACCAATAGCTAGAAGAATGCCAGGAAGACCTGCCACCAAAAGGAGAAGGCATTCAAGTGAAAAAGAGACCAAGTTTGCTACTGCAAGAGTTAAAGTATCCAGAACTGTGAGGTGTTGTAATTGCTTTGAATTTGGACATAACAAACAAAGTTGCACAAGTGAAACAAATCCAAGAGTTCCACATGCACCCAAAAAACTTAGTAGGCCAAAAAAATCAAAAGCAACATGAAAGTGCAACAACTGAAACTCCAATCAATCAAAATGTAGATCCCAATCAAACATCTGGTTCTAGGAGAAAGACTAGAAGGAGGAGTACAAAAACCAGTAATGAGCCAAATCAACCAACTGCTCAAAGGAGAAAAATAAATAGTAGAAAGGGTGGAGGTAGAGCTGGAGGTAAAGGGAAAAAATGTGTGGATGAGGGACAAGTTCAGATTGAGGGACAAAAACTTGTTGGTGAAGGGAAAAACCAGGATGAAGAGCAAAACCAAGAAAATGGACAAGAAAAGGTTGATGAGGGTATGGCCAGTCAAGTTATAGATGAAGTTGGTGAAGGAAAATCTAAGTCACGAAAGCTGAGTGAAATTCTTGATGATGTTGAGGATGGTATAAATGAAATTCTTAGAGATATTCAAGAGGAAGAACCTGAGTTTCTTGAAGGTAATGCAGATGAAGTATACCTAAGAAAATCCAATTGAATGAAGAAGATGTAGCCATGCTACTAGAGTTAGGATACAACATTGGTGAAATTGAAGGGAGTAAAGGGATAGCAATTCCATTAGATGAAATGACACCTGTTGAACTGGTAATTAATCTCCTATTTATTCTACTTAAATTCAATTTTATTCTATTTGTCCCATATTGTAATTACATGTCATATATTGCCTTAATAGGAATTACAATATCAAGAAGGGCATCCGGATGATGTTGAGGTGTTTGCTGATGATGAAGTTGATGATGTACAAGTGGATGATGTACAAGTTGATGATGTTGAGGTGTTTGCTGATGATGAAGGTGATGATGAGGGAGTGGTTGCAGCTGATAATCATGTAGTGGATGAGGTACAAGTGGAAGCAGGGATTGAAGCTGCTGTTGAGGGGGTGGAGGATAGAGTCAATAACTTGCCAAACCTGTCTACCAAACCTATGCATAGGAAAAGGAAACCTTCTGAGAGGATATTGAAGCTAAAGTTGAAGAAGACTGTGTATGACAAAGATGGTAGTGGTTCCAGTGCTACCAAACCTGTCAAGTTGGATTAGTTGGGTAGTGATTATGAAAAGGGGTGAAGTGGGATGTTAATCACTGGCATATGATGCCTTCTTTTTGTATATCTTTTTTTATTCCTGGTTTTTGCAGCAAACATCCAGTTGTCATATGTGTTGCCTTGATAGGGTTGTTTGATAGGGTTTTTGGCATAATTGGATGATTGCTACATGAAACATTATATGAAACATTATGTAATGCACGCCCCTTTTCTATGAAATATGGTTTATGGTACTATTATTCGATTATAGCATCTTACAATAGGTTTGGTTAATTGCATCTTAGGTGTAGATTATAACATCTGACATTTGGTTTTTATGCTTTATAGCATCATACTTTGGTATGGATTAAAACATCTTAATTTTGTATCAATTATATCATTTGAATTGCCCTATCTCATGACATTATTCAATGCCTAAACTGCCCTCTATTGATATTATTCAATGCATATTATTCAATGCCTAAATTGGGTTACCATTTACAACTTTGCACATACCAAATTAGAAAAACTACAACAAGGATTACCATTACATTATCATTGCCTGAATTACAGTGATTCCAGTTCAAAACACAACTGCATTATATTACCAACCACATTGCAAAAGTACAATACTTAAATAACAGGTTGGATGTCACCGGATGACCGGCTCCAAACCTGCTAAATGGCGTTTTTGACAAAAAGAGCCCAAATGTTGGGCATTAACGCACCAAAATTCGTCGCGGGGACTAAACCGAACAAATTTTGAAAACTTAAGGACTTTTAAGTCAAAAGCCCTATCTGTAAAACGAAAAATCTATCTCATTCTCAAATACAACCCATATTTTTATACACATGAACCTTGCGTGTATACCGTTATTTACTTTTATGAATTATATTATATATTTTAGATATTGTATGGTCATAATATTTTTTGATCAATAAATCAATGCATAAAGTTAAGCTACATGACAATTATATTACGTGTTATATTTGATATTTGGACCATTTGACTCATAGTTGACATAGTAAATAAAATATCCCCTATTTTAGCATAAATAGAAAGGGTCCTCCTATTCGCACGAAACGAGTCGTGTAATTGTTTTGGCATTTGTGCCTAAAGTTTGAAAACTGACAATCTGTCACAACCGCTTTATATATGAAAATGTTATTATATAATTTCTCATTAATCCCTTTATTATTACACAATGTTCATATTTCATCCTATACTTTTTCGACTTTTAAAAATTCACTATATTAATCTATTCTATTAGAAATATACTCATATGTGTATGATAATATTTAAAAATATATACATAATTTTTAACCTATAATATTAGTCTAATTCATTTGTAAACTCAATCAACATTTAAAAATTAGTTTTTAAAAACTCAATTAGTATTTAAAATTAATTAGTGTTTAAATTAGTATTTAGAGTTGGTGTTTAAAAACTCAAGTAGTGTTTAAAATTAACATTTACAAACTCAATTAACGTATTAGAACTCAGTTGGCGTTTAAAAACTCAATTAGTGTTAATTAGAAAATAACACTTTCATAAGTTTAAAATTATACAAATATTGAAGGATCATAAACCGTTATTAAATTAGTGTTTTTTTCTAACATGGGAAATCCATCGGCATTTCGTTTTTTTTAATATGTATATAAATAAAAAAGAAAGCTATAAATAAAATGGGAAAATACAAATCTAGCAATTTTTGTTAATTATTTATCAAAAAAATAGCCAAAAAAAATAATACTTAGCCAAAAATAGCCCTTAAAAACGTAGTCAACTTTTGGTTGACTACGGTCAACGTTGTTGACTATTATTTTATGCCTTAAAGTAGTGTTTCGTGCTAATAGGCTACTGTTTCACGGGCTCGTTTACTTTTTCGTGGCCCATTAGCCCAAAGTATATAATGAAATTTTTTTCAGATTAGGTCATTTTTCCTATTGTTTTCTTTGGTTTGGCTACCTTTTTTGCCTCAATGGGACACCCGAAGAACAACCAGGTTTGTCTACTTTTCATCAAAATTTTACCATGTTTGTGATTAGGAGTAGGTTTTGTATATGTGGTTAAATTCTTTTTGAAAAAAATCGAAAAAAAATATATAAAACTGTAGGTTTCATACTAAACCTACGGTGTACAAGTGTCGATGATTAGACTTCAAGTTTGTTGCACAACAAGTGTGTTGGTCAACAACTTTTGTGACTTGGAAAGCAGTAGTCGATTTGATTCCCCTTGCCCTAACCATCCAAGAACAATTTTCTACCAAACAAACCACCTCGAACCTCTCTTTGCTCGATCTGGTAGTCTTATACTGCTTACCTTGTTCCATGCATTGTCTTCCAATTGCAAGCTTGAGCAACTCTTTGTCATAAAAAATGTCTAGAACCTTAATCTCTTCATTTATATCCAGCCTCTGACATGGAATGTTCACATCATCGTTTACAGGACACGAAGGCAATGGGGGCATACCATGAAACATGTTATCTGAATAAATAAGTTTAGGTTCATCATCAAATTCTTCTCCGTTAGAATCACTCTCTAGGACGGATATATCCAACTTATCATAATCTGCAAACTCGCCATATCCTTTTAGTTCACCATAATTGGAACATATTAAGTAAAAGGTTTAAAATAAAATTTTGAAAAACAAAAGGTAAATTTTGAAAGATAAATAAAAGCATGAGGACAACATTTGAAAATTAAAATGACATTATATTCGGGATATATATATATATATATATATATATATATATATATATATATTGGGTGCTCCTATATACACGAATAAAATCGTGTAATTGATATGCGGTCTAATTTGTTTGATCTAAACCAGGAACCGGATAGGCACAGTACGTACTCGTTCCGAGAACCTCCAATGTTCAACTCAACTTTTAATCAGGAACAATCGATGCATAACTCGTACTTCAACCAAGAACAAGTAATGTATAATTCAGATCCACTTATGAATGAAATTCCGTATGAATTTCATCCATATGTCACAAACATACAAAACGTGAGGGGAGATGGAAATTGTGGATTTCGTGCAATAGCTGCGTGTCTCGGTTATAGTGAAGATAATTGGCGTCAAATCCGCTTAGATTTACAAAATGAGTTGTTAGCACACCTATCTGAGTACGCACAGATTTTTGATTACGATTTAAACACCATACATCACTCATTGAATTTCAATGGATCACATTTCGCACCAAAAGATCGTTGGTTGATTATGACGGTCACTAGCTTTCTCATTGCTAACAAGTATAGTGTAATAGTTATTTTCTAAGCAAAGATAGTCCATCAACATGTTTTCCACTATGGCTTGGTCCCCAAGACATCTCAACTCATAGAGTTGTTGTTGTTGCTCTTGTTAGAGGTGATCATTATGTGAAGGTTGATTTACATGGAGCATATCTAATGCCTACTATTTTGCCACTTTGGCGTCACAACAGATCATTACGGTCTGCTGGATGGGAAACTGTTTATGCTGCTCGCCTGAATTCATACATTTCTCCATTTGCAACACACAGTAATTGTAACAATTCTACAGTTATAATATCTGATAATTAATAAAATCAAGTTTATGTTTTGTTGTTTATAATTATTAAGATCTCTATAAATAAAAAAAATTGTTTTTTTTTAATTTAGCAAACATATACGGAGTCTAATTGAAAATTTACGTCACAAATTCCATAGTTATTTGGCTTTAGCTACGGAATTTCATGTTTTTGCTATGAAATTTTTCCGTATCTAAATCAAAAAATTTTTGTAGTGTATATAGAAAACAATACATATTTTCTAATTATATATTTTTAATAGAGATGCGTATTGGACGGTTTGGTTTGGTTATTGGCCACGGTGAACCTTATTGTTATCAATAAGAACAATCATGAGATTATAGGTTAACAATAATTACATAAAAAAAATAATTTTAACAAACCATGTAAATCTATATTAAATTTATTGTTTACATATAATTAAATATATAAGATTATTGACTCGGTTTCCTTGTAAAACAAAAGTATGAGGACAAAATTTGACTTGATTATGTTTTTATGCAATTCCTTAAAAGGTAAATTTTGAAAGATAAATAAAAGTATGAGGACAAAATTTGAAAACATAATTGGAACATATTAAGTAAAAGGTTTAAAATAAAATTTTGAAAAACAAAAGGTAAATTTTGAAAGATAAATAAAAGCATGAGGACCCTCTTTGAAAATTAAAATACCATTATATTCGGGATTTATATACATGAAATTTGATTGATGGAAGACTGCTTTGCAATAATTATTCGTGCATATAGATATTTATTCGTGTCTTTAAAATTACCCAATAGAAATTAGCATAGTTTTTATTAAGAAACAAAATTAGCATATTTCTTTTTCAAAAAAAAAAATCATATATAATCATTAATCATGAAATAAACAATATAACACTAAATAACGAAATACTTCTTTCCAAAATCTAATAAACTTCATGGTAATTTGTAGAGAGCCAACTTGTTAATTTATTTAAACTTTGGAGTTATACGACTACTAAATATATCATTTAGAATGAATTATTTAATTACTTTTTGGAATATTCCAGCCTCGCTTGCTATTATTTTTGTTTTGTTTGTTGTTATATAGCATAATCCAAGTCATGCCTCAATTTTATATATATATATATATTATATATATATATATATATATATATATATATATATATATATTAGTTTATAACCCGTGGGAACCACGAGTTATAAAATTAATTAAACTTTCATAATAAAAAATTATAATTATTAATCAATTATTTTAAATAAATTATTAATTAAGAGATATATCAAAATTTTAAAGTTATTATAACTTTAAATTTAACATATAATTAGAAAATATAAATTTGAATTTTGAAATGAGCTGTCTGATATATATCTATATGACACATGCCATAATAATAACGAGGAGTTGTATTAGAGTGACACTTGACAAAAGAAGATTAATACTATATATATATATATATATATATATATATATATATATATATATATCTATATATATATATATATATATATATACCCACTGCATAAGAAAAACCCACATGAAAGAACAAACCCATAGACCATATCACACGATGGGGTTGGAGAGCGGACAGAACAAGGCGGCCAATCCAGATGAGCAATCTCCGTCGTTGTCACAACCATCGGAATTCAGCTTCCTCCTCTTCCACCACCGTCAACTGTTCAGGCAAACTCCTAAGATGGTTATCATCTTTGCGACAGTAGCGATTTCATGCTTGGTTTTATATCATCACTCTCCCATCACCTTACCACTTTCTGGCAACTACAACCCCTTGGCTGACAGCGAACACATTGAAAATTCAGTAAGCATATAATCCACTCGATTCTTCTTAATTTTTTTTCTTCCCTTTCTTGAGTTTATATGAAGCTCAATTTAGATATACGATCCTTTCCTTTGACCCGGAATTTATTGCTGAACCGGTATATATCGTAAATTCGTAATCTGATATAACCTTAATTAGTATTTTAAGAATCTTGTTTATATAATCAAAGTGAAGATAAGTGGATGATAGAAGTCCAATTTAACGGAGTTGACCGATAAATAAAGCTATGATTTTTGAAATGGGAAATTGAGAAGGGTGGAAAACAATATTTTTTACTACAATTTCTTTTTATTTTTTTCTTAAAGTAGATGATGTTATATGGATATTTATTTATTCTTACACCGTATAGGACGTTATCAAATAAGACGACTATGATCGTTTTATTCGTTTAATAGTCATTATATACATATAGTAATTTCTTTCCTCTGAATTAAAAAAAAATGTTTAAAATGAATCGAAGACCAGTGATTGACTTCTTTCACAATGTCTGAAGGTGCCAACTGCCAACTGTCAAGAATCATATGTTGTTTTTGTATGAATAAGACAAAATTGCAAAATGGTCCCTGTCGTATGTAAATTTTTGGGGTTTTAGTCGAAACCCCGAGTTTTTTCGATTTATGGTCTTTTTGGTGTGGTTTGTATGTGAAAATAGTCCCTCCGAAAATTGAAATGAGTATAATACATTTGGGGTATTTATTTTTCATTTTTCTTAAAATTTAATATTTATTTATTTATTTTAACAATTAAAAAAATAATAGAGGACCCACCTCTCTCTCTCTCTCTTGGACTTTGTAAAAGTCAACCTTCCCCATTGAAGAGGTGCAGGAAATTCTTTCTCTCTGAACCAGATTGGAGGTACGCTGGAAGAATGAAAGAGACTGAAATGGGTGTTTATTCTTGAGCTAAGTCGTTGCTGCCATAAACCACCTTTCCCTCATCATTGTTGGACCAAAAACCACTACCACCTCACTTCTCCCCCTTTCCTCTTGTTGAATTTTGTCAAGAACCGAAGAGGGAACCGAGAGTGGCCAAGAAACTGCCACCCTTGACCACCCACTGCCACCGAGAACCGAGAACCACTAGAAGTCGCCGCCAGCATCCACCATCGTGTTCCCTTGGGCTGCCAACGCAAACCACATCCACCCATTACCATTGCTGTTGCCGGAAACATCCTTCATGACCCCTCCTCTCATCACCAACTCATAACTCGCTGGATACTGCCGCCGCTCATCACTACAGTCCAGCCACCACCTTCTTCACTGCAGTCCAGCCGCCACCCAGATCCTTTGAAGGTTGAACCATGAATTTGATCAACGAAACAATGTTCCAGGGATACAGGACCATCAATCTGATATTAATTATGTAACAATGGGAGTACCAAACTAAAATCGGGAATAACACCAGATGAGGATTATGATATAGAAGAATCTAATTAGGGTTGGAGAACACATACAAATTAACAATCAGAGTACCAAACTCGTCACTGCAGTCCAGCCACCACCTTCGTCTGGTCATCTTCTTCTCTCTTCTTCTTTTGTCTTCCCCCAGTAGAATCTGCCCCTAAATCCCCACATTCACCCCTGTTTTGACTCCTAATCCCTCTTCAGAAAACAATTTAAAGATAAAATTGAATAATTATACTACCAAGAACAGCAACAGATTACTTAAAGGTACAAACTCTGCCAGAGAGAGAGATATAGAGAGAGAGGCATATGAACGAGGTTTGGGTCGACGGTGGGTTTACACAGGAGAGAGAGAGAGAGAGAGAGAGAGAGAGAGAGAGAGAGAGAGAGAGAGAGATGGGCCCCAAATTAGGTAATTATTTTATTTTTCATTTAAATTAAATAGAAAAAGCATAAAAAAATATATCAGAAGGGCATAATAGTCTTTTCAGTTTACTGAGGGACTAAAAACGCAAAGAAACTAGCTCAAAAGGACCACCAATCCAAAAAAGTCGTGGTTTGGACTAAAACCCCAAAAATTTGCATACCACAGGAACCATTTTTGCAATTTTGTCTATGAATAATAATAAAAGATACTACATATATATCTTACATTAACCAGATAATAACCACTCATTGTATTTGGTTTATTATTTTTCATGACATTCAATAGAACGTATTGCTAAATTTATTTTATCACGTTTCATATACTTTTTATTTTGTGTATTTGTTGTTGTAGTTGATTTTCTCAAATATGTGATTTACATAATTTTGACATCATCAACTTTGTCTATACTAGCTAAATAGCTAGCTGGTAACCAGTATTGGCCCTAAACACATTTTGTGTGTGCGACTGCACAAGGCCACCTGTCGGTAGGGGGTCTGAAATTTTAATTCGTCGATAAACCGTCATCATCTATCGTTAATTCGTCACCAGCCGTCTTACTGTGTCGCTAATCTATCACTATTTGTCCTTATCCATTGCTAATCCGAAAATTTCACGGCCCATTTTAGTTTTCGCACAATGCCTTCAAAATCAACGGATCGACTATTGGTAGCTGAAAAGTTAGCCGATAGCTAATAAACTAGTTGATAATTGAAAAGTTAGTTATTAGTTGAAAGCTTAACTAATACAAAAAATAATAGTTAATAAAAACTAGCTGGGAATACAAAATGACATAAATAGGTATTTATAAGAATAATTCATTATTGTAAAAAAATTTGTAATATATTTTATTAAATTAAAATAAAATATCAAATAACTGTAAGTCTGTAACCTTTGTTGGTAATTGGATTTTCTATTTAATTATAACTTGTAACAAATTTTAAAATTACGTTAATCATATAATTTTTTTCAATCGCATTTGATTAACATATGTTTTTGTATACAATGTGTAAACCATACTTAAAATATTATCAAACTAATTATATTCTATTAACAAACAAGTTCTTGGTCTTTTGTGACAGACATAATTTGTTTCTTCAAGAATGTATGAAAAAAATGGAGATATTAAATTTTATATTTGTAATAATGTTGACAAGTTTGACAAAAATAGAATGAATAATAAGTTTACTTTTAATAAACACCACTCTGTTTTTTCCCAAATAAAAGTAGCAATAATAGACGAGAAAGGGTAATCTCTTTAATATTTATCAACGGACCCAAATTACTATAATTCAAATTTCAAACTTCAAAAATTAATCAAAAATATTAATTTTATAATAAAACTGATAGATGTTTTCGTGCTAACTTTATGGACATCTATATCTTGTGTATGTCATACTATCACAATAGAGTATATACCTATACTATTATCCGACTTAATTTAGATGTAAACATTCTTTATTCGTCTTAATTTGGAAACTAACAGCGACGGGTTCTCTGCCCCTGCGGGGATGGAGCGACAGAAGTTTTGAGAATTCAAAAGAAGGTCACGACGAGACGAGCCGTTTATCATTACGATAGGTGTCAAGTGGAAATACAGTGATGTATGCAGCTGAGGCATCCTAACAGACCGGTAGACTTGAACCTTGTTCCTCCATGACCCGATCATACCAATTCTATTTAGGCAACATTGTCATAATATATTTAACACAAAGTATTAAGTATTTAATATATATTAATTATTTATACCTATGGAATCATAATCGCAACTACTACAACTCTCGTTAATATTATTTATTCTAAATAAGCTTTTATTTTTAGACGTTTATTTATTGTAACTCCTTAAATTCATATTAATTTTTTATACAAATATTATAAGTCCATAATATTTTCTCATAAAACATGTACGCAATATATAAATATTATTTATATAACTTGTATCGCATACAAAGGATTCATGACTATTCTATTCGAGGATTTAATTATTTGATAAAACAAATATTTATAATTTAAAATCTCTAAAATGCCTAAGCCAAATTTGCGGACGTTAAATAGATGGATGATATTTTAGATATATTAACAATGACATTTAGATTTTTAAAAATGACATATATATATATATATATATATATATATATATATATATATTTTGATGTTTAAAAAAGGAATATATGATATTTTGATATTTAGCTTGATATATATATATTATATATATATATATATATATTCTATATATATATATATTGATGTTTAAGAAGATATATATATGACTATTTTAAAATTTATAAAAGTTTAATATGATATTTTAAAATTAAGTTGGACAAATATGATATTTTGATGTATAAAAATGACATATATTAAGTTAAATAACATTTATATTTTAAGATTTAGCTCATTCTTCTAAGAAAAATATATATATATATTATATATATATATATATATATATATATATATATTATATATCTATATATATATATATATATGGGGCTAGGTAATTTTGTTTCTTACATTTATTGTGTGTTAGAATGCACCAATAGGAATTTAATAAATTAAATAATTATTTAATTAAATAAATATAGATATTAAATTATTTCCATAATTATATGTATATTAAATTATATCCATATTTATAATTCTCTTTTTATGGAAACTAATTAAATCCGTCATTAATATCAACAATAACATTCTTTCAGAATGAATTCGAATGTAAGTTTTATATATGAGTTCGTATTTTGTTTCAGGACTCATTCACTTAAAATACAATAAAGTTGTATGGAATATGAAGAACGAGAGTGTATTCTACTAGAATATACTCTTATTCTGCTGGAATCCTCTTTTATTCTTCTAGATATGAATTCATTCTGAATAAATATTATTGTTAACATTAATGATAAATTTAATTAGTTTCCATAAAAATGAGTTATAAGTATGGATAACATTTAATATATATATAAATATTACTAAATTCTCATTGGTGTATTCTAGCCCACAATAGATATGAGAAACATTTGAACCTACCTCTCTCTCTCTCTATATATATATATATATATATATATATATATATATATATATATATATATAATTTATTACAAGTATAGATCAATATAGACATAATTTTATATATAATATGAAAATGTTATTTTTAAAATTAAAGCAGGGTATATACTCCAAGTATAATACACAATTAATACATAAGTTAGTTATAATATACACACATAACTAACTTCTTAACCCTTGGATCGTTACGTCGATAGATATGATAAGATGATACTTTTGTAACTTTTATCAAACTATTATCCAATATCAAGCAAAACTCTTACTATCATAGCATAATTGGGTTTTTGCATTTTCTTTTAAACGTGTGGCATATCTTCTAAATCCAGGCACAATTGAAACAATTTCAAATTGCACGTTTGATCAATGCTAATTCCATACCACTCGACTTTCATTAGCAATTTCACTATCATTATCCATTTTTTATGCTCATAATCATTTATGAACATATATGCATCACTAAACATTTGTTAATATACATTTTAATATGTTTATTTATGTTCAATTTAAGAGAAATATCGATATGTAGAAACTTCATAACCGACTTTCATCGATCCAGATGTATTTAATTGATTATATTTTCTTTTCAGTTTATTAGAATTTTTATTTACCAACATACGTTTATTTGGTTCTATATTGAACCTATTATATATATATATATATATATATATATATATATATATATATATATATATATATATATATGAGAGAGAGAGAGAGATTCACACTAAATTGGAGAATATAGAGAAATAAGATCCTAAGATGTGCACAAGCAATGCTACCATGGAAAATATAAATTGTTTTCTCTGATAAACCATTTTGTAAATAATAACATGTATCGCATATTCGCATTGATTATATTATTTACAAAATCACTTTTATATTTAATATGTTTGTAAGAACCATTTCTAGGTACCAAATAAATAGAACATTCACAGTATTTTAGGAACTATAATGAAACATGCATGATCTGCCGGACAATAAATTGAGCCAAAGTAGCTCTTATATAGTTTTTTTTTTTTTTTTTTTTTTTTTTTGTATTTGTATATGCTTATGTAAAAATGTTTATTGTTTAATTAATATATTTGTTTGATGATTATTTATATATCATATTTCAACTCTTTTTCCTTATATTGTTCTTTTTTTGTATTTTTAAAATTGTTGATTAGGTTAACCAATAATTAAACTCATAGGTTAGCTTGTGTGTGATGGTTAGCCAAAATATCAGTGTGGTATTAGAATTGTTCTACATGGAAAACAATTGTCGTGTACGAATCACTTTTCTATAAGAAAGGATTTGATTTTTGTACATTCTTAATTAAGAAATTTAGGCTTCATTGTATTATAAAATATGTCTATAGTTTATCTAACAGTTGTATAACATAGTCTTCTACTGCCTTTTCACTTGTCCAATTTGATTTTTAAAAACAATAATTAATCATTATAATGTTAACCAATAAACCGTACGTTAGGTGCATTGTGCAATGTAAAAAAAAGTAAATATTATATTGTTATTAGAAGAGGGGTTAAATGTCAATCTTCAAAGCCTGATATGTTATTATACAAATGGGGTTAATAGTCGATTTCCAAAAACCTCAAATATACTAAATTTGAATAGGATATCAAAATCTTTTGTTTGATGATTTTTAGTTCTAACTCGATCTTGTCTTTAATTTTTACTTAATAGGGTATAAATCTGGATGAGTTGAAAAGCATATTAGAAAATGCAACTATGGGTACAAATACAGTGATAATTACGACTATGAATGATGCATGGGCTGAGCCAGACTCCATGTTTGATCTTTTTTTGGAAAGTTTTAGAATCGGGAATCAAACTAAAAGGTTTTTGAAACACATAGTCGTTGTAACTTTAGATCAAAAAGCATATGCCCGTTGCTTGAAGTTACATTCTCATTGTTATAATCTTAGCACCAAAGGCATGGACTTTTCAGGCGAGGCGTATTTCATGGCAGCTGATTATTTAAAGATGATGTGGAGACGAATCGATTTTCTGCGCACAGTTCTTGATTTGGGATATAGCTTCTTGTTCACGGTACTAACTACTTCCTCTTAGTTCTTTCATATGCTTCAAATATCACTAGATTGACTTATTTAAGTCAAAATCCCAGTTTTTAAAAATAAAAAAAATGTAATTTTGTCTAAATTTGGTAAGGATTAACTTTGACATTTTCTGTATCCAGGATGCAGACATAATGTGGTTTAGGGACCCATTTCCACAATTTCATGAGGATGTTGATTTCCAAATTGCTTGTGATTATTTCAATGGAAACCCTTATGACTTGAACAACCTACCAAATGGAGGTTTTAACTATGTGAAGTCAAACAAGAAGACAATTCAATTTTACAAGTTTTGGTACAACTCAAGGTTGACTTACCCAAGCCTTCATGATCAAGATGTGTTCAACAAGATCAAGTTCAACCCATTCATTAAGAACGTTGGATTACAAATTCGGTTCCTTGATACTGCCTACTTTGGTGGTTTTTGTCAGCCAAGCAAAGATCTAAACAGAGTGTGCACAATGCACGCAAATTGTTGTGTTGGTTTAGAAAACAAGGTTAATGACCTCGGGATCATGCTTGGTGATTGGCGAAAGTATACATGGTCGCTCAAGAATCAAACAACACATGAGTATGTAGGTTTATGGACAGTTCCTCAACTTTGCAGGTATTGTTCCATCCTTTCCACTCGTTTTAATTACCCCTGAAGAATAGTTATGTTATGCTATGGATTTACTATAGTTAATGTAGATTATAATTCCATTATTGTCATCAGGGGTTCATTTCATCGTCCTCGTACCCCACCCAAGAAATACGGCAAAGGAAGAAAGAATTGATTGTCCATTTAATATGTTTCAATTCCAAGAAGATTTGGGATGCAAACATATGCAAGGGATTTTTTTTGACAAATTGTGCAGAATATGGTACAAGTGTACAACCAAGAATCTAGCTGATAAAGTGAAGGTTGATTTTTTAGTTTCTTTAGACTTTAACTTAGTTTGTTGTAAATTCATATGCTTTTTCTTTCCAATATGTTTGTTTCAAATGTTTTGGAGTAATCAATCACTAGCTAAATGGCAACAGTTGGTAGGACAATGAAAAATTATCAAACCAAAATCAAGTTGATAAGTTTTAATTCAAGAAAGTGGATTCAACATTATGGTTATGTTTGACAAATCTCTTCCTTAAGTTTAACTTTAAGAATCACTAAGAACTATAATGCCAACATCTCCTCGTTGGAGATGACTATTATGATTGGCTATTACCAAATCTCTTCTTAAAGGTCTATTAACCTTAACAATCAGTAGACATTTTTATGTTAACATCTCCTCGTTAGAGATATATCGGACAGTAAAATATTTCATACACACCAACAAACATCAAGCAAGCTATGCACATAATGACTCTCAATCCTGATCAGAATTGGTAATTGGACTCCGAGGCTACCAATCACATGTCAAACAATACATGTAATATTTCTCGTTATTTAAATAATGGTAGACAAAACAACATAGTCGTTGACAAAGGTTTTCAAATCAAAATTCATGGCACTAGTCACGTGTAACAACGTAAATTTTCAGAGCAAAATTTTCAAATTTTAAAACACATTTTTCTCAATTCAAACATCTCAAAAGTGTTATAGTATCAAATCATCCAACACATATCCCAAAAACTGAATATATAACAAATCCAGGACCCTCTCAAAACATGACTCAAATCTCTAACGTGTGTACAATCAAGCCGGCGCCTTCCCATAATCCTGAGAAGTACCTGAAACACATAACACATAATGTGACAACCCGGAATTTCTATTTTGTACAAACCATTCACTTCAATAAAAGTTAGTCTAGTTTCTGCTAACTTTTAAGCTGTTTGGTGTCAGTTTGAGTGTTCTAAAGCCTAATACTTCAAGCGGTAATTAGAGGAAGTATACTTGAGAGTCATTTGTGCAACATTTAAATCCTAAAACTCCAAGAGTTTAGAGTTTACGGCCCAAAAATGGTGTTAGGGCCGTAAACCCTAAGAGTATATATATGGCACTTAGCCATTTTACTCACTTTTTCCATTTTCAAGCCTAGAAACTCATTCTCTCTCAAGTATCATCCAAGTTTTCTTCTTGATCTTCAACTTTGTAAGTGTTTCCTTCCTTGATTAGTTGATATCTTCCTTTATCTAGTGATCTTACATGATTTCATCCATGAAATCATTCCTTTTTCATAGATCTTCAAGTGTTCTTCATTTCACAAAGAACACATACTAGTGTTCTTGGGCCGTGAACTCCCTTACAAGCTCTTATATTGTAAGTATTCTTACCTTAGCTTGTTATAATACTAGATTCACTTTTTAAACTACTAGAAAACACCAAGAATCACAAGTCCATAAGGTGTTTACGGCCAAGACATGTTCTTGAGCCGTAAACCCTAATGAAGGGGGCATAGTGAACCCTAGTCCCTTCCTTAGCCTTGGATGGAAGCCTAGATCACTTCCTTGAAGGGTTTAGGACCTTAAACATCAAAAAGATTAAGAACACATAGGAGTTTACGGCCAAGATGACACCTTGGGCCGTAAACTCTAAAAGGTGGTGCTATTGTGCCACAATGACTTCCTAAGGCTTGGACTTAACCATAAGATGCTACATCATGACTTGTAAGACCTTTAAACACAAAAATGGTATATATTACCATGAGTTTACGGCCGTAAACTCATGGGGAAATGACCATGGGCCGTAAACTCATGAGTTGTTACCATTTGGGCCATAAACTCCTTTAAAAGGCCCTACACCCCTTAGATGCAACCCTATGGTATTCCTAGCACTTGAATCAAAGTGTTATCCATGTATTAGGGTGTCTTTACTTGATTAATTAGTTGTTAATTAACTAATTGGATACATATATGTGTTATTATATGTTAATTAGGATCCGTGTGTGTGTTCAAGTCTTCACTTGACACTTAGCATCCTATAACATCCGTTCATCCAAACCACTCACTACAGGTGAGTTCATACCCCCTTAATCAACCTTTTAAATGATTTTAAATGCTTTTATGGGGGGATACAAGTTGAACTATTATAGCTATTATATCAATCACATGTGATTAATAACTACCAAACAAGTGAAATTCTTACTTTTCAAACTGTGTTATCAAACAAACTACTTCAAACTGTTTTGCAAACTGTTTTTTACATGTTAAATACTTTTATTAAACTCTTTTAAACTTATATTTTGTTAAATGTGTATCTATATAGATATAGTTATATAAGTAGGATTGAAAGGACTTAGGACTGATAGCTCACCTTACCTCATGTTCCTTGTTTGGTTGTGGACTTAGGGTATCAGTTGTTTGTCTGAAGGTCGTTTGAATCCTAGTTATATATTATGTATATGTATATAGATATAAAAGTTCCTTCTTTCAATTCAATACCTTTGGGTAGCAAAGGTATACAAACATGTTCATACATACAAACAACATTACTAGTAAACTATAATAGGTATAGTTTAGGAAGTTACTAATACTATTACTAGAACAATGAAACATACAATGAGTCAGTTCATACATGAGTCAGAACATACTATTATGAGAAACAGAGAGAACATACATACATACTAGACAGAGAGAGAACATACAATACAACTAGTACATACTATAAATTATACAAGAGAACATACTATTATGAGAAATAGAGAGAACATACATACATACTATACAGAGAGAACATACTATTATGAGAAATAGAGAGAACATACAGTACCACTACACCTTGCTGCTCGCTACAGTGGGACTTGCAAGTCTACGTGTGCCAAATGTCATTTCTTCCGACGTCTTTCATCGTCGTGTTTTTAGTCGGTAGTATGGTACAGACATATCACATGGTACTTTAAATAACAATTGGTTTAAGGTAGTTAGTACAGCAGTAGTTACTTAATACAACACTACAGTACTATTTTATTTCCCCATTGCATTCACTTTGTGATCTTCACACAATGAACAGTAATGTAAAAACTATATTTTTGGTTAATGATAGTTAGATTTGGGAAATACATACTCTTACAAGAGACATACATACAAACATTTGATACCTTGGTAGAAGGCTACTTTTAGTAGAAAACATAGGGTTTTCTAGGAGATACAAACATTTTTACAAACATTTACAAACTTATACATCAAGTACTTACAAACACCTTCATACAAACAATGACACTAAAATACTTATGATCTCACCAGCTTTAAAGCTGATAAACTCTTTCAAAATAACTTGTATTCTCAGGTCACTAGTAGACAGGTACCGGTGCCAGGTATTGAGAAGATGGAGCTTGTTCCCAGACTCATCTTTTATTTTGATTTACATTTTTGGTGTCTGATAGACTTCACAGAACACACTTGTATTAAATTATATTATTAGTGCAATGGATGATGTTGCTGCTTGTTTACTACTATTCATTGTTGTGATACTATACATGACGTCCTCCACCCCCGAACGTTTCCGCCGTTCTGGTTTTGGGGTGTGATAGATTGGTATCAGAGCATTGTTTATAGTAAATCGAGTATATCAACCCATAAAAGATATACACACTATAAACACAGCGGAATTTAAAAATACTCTGACAAAGAGTTTATACTTTTAAATAATAAAATATTTAACCAAGTATACCTACCTGCATTCATGCTAAAATCAGTGTCGCTAGGACAGAACAAAAGTATTACGATTGTTGGGCAGCACAAGTAGACTTAGAGACATATAGTCAAATCTGGGAAGATATAGCCTGATCAACTATATTATCCGAGGAGTGACTAGCATGTGCCTAAGAGTGGTTGTGAGGTTGCAGCAAGTCTAAAAACTTACCAACAATACCACAACGAAAACCTTAGAACAAAACATAAACTTAAACTACTATAGGAGCATTTTGTGTTACTATAATTTACTTATGTGCAAACTAAAAAGGCCTTATAACTACCTAATTAGTACTTTTATTTAGTTATTTCTTATACCCCTTTTTCTCGCGTAGATAACATGGCTGGATTCCATCCCCACGACGACTTGTACTTCCCTAACCAAGGTAATGGAGGAGGGTTTGAAGCAGAGCCAGAAAATGATCACCCAATCCCTGTGGATGATCACCAGGCTGAAGGCTTTGCAGATGGTTCTGACTCCGAGCCTGAAGTTGAGAACCTACCCCAGGTGGCTCCTGTCCCAAATCCTAACCCTCGTCCGGCTTTTCAAGTCCCGACGCCTCCGTGGGTAGAAAGCTTGGAAACATGGAGCCAAGAGCAGGATCAGCCCATGCCATTCAATGGAGACCAAAGCTTTTATGACCTGGGCGAAGGAGGCTCAGCAGACAGAGTCTTGCCAATAATGGTCCGCAGAGTTGCCCGGAACGACATTCAGGGCAGGACAACACTCCATCGAATCACAGAAGTTGACGCCAATGCGAGAATGCATACCATCTGTACCATTCGTCTGGAAGATGCTCGTGAGAGATCTAGGGGAGACCATGAGGCCCTGCAACAAGATCTAGCTGAAACTCGAGCTGAAGTCATAGAGCTCCGAGTACGCCAAAGGGTGTACGAAAGGCACCTACTTGATATGGAGCGTCAGCTGGCTGAACTAAGGGTTCACCCAAGGGATAACTATCACCAGTAGGAGATATTCTACCTTTATTTCCTTCGTTGAAAGAATAGTCTTCCTATCTATGCTCTAAGTATCACTTTTCTAAGTAACTATCCCTGTACTTTAAGTACTTATAGTTAGGCCTTTATGCAGTCAAAACTTTTCTACTTCGGATATGATGTAAGACCTACTCCAAGGTCATTTTTCCCAAACGTATTACATCATAAATATCAATGATATTGACAGTCGGCTAATTTCTGTGCCAATCCTTGTTCAAATACTTTCGTTCTGCTATCATTAGAATCCTATCTAAACACTCACTTCGTCAAATTATTGAGCTATGGTGAATTAGCTCAAGGATTACTTCCAATTCTTGTCAAAGGTTGGATCCGGTTATCCACCAACCAATTATA